GCTGTGACCTGTGTCTGCATTTCTTCTTGGATCTCACATTTTTCTACCTTCCCCCCTTTCTCTGGTTTGATCACACACACAGACTTCCTAGCTGTACTGAACATTCACCTTCCCTAAGGTCTTTGCACTGACTGTGCCTTTTCACTGAATAGGTATCCCTGTGACTTGCTCTTCATTTCATTTTACTGTTGCTTAAATATTACATCGAGCCTTCTGTGATCACCCTGTTTACAACCCATCCTCATCCGAGCACCAGCATTCCCCTTGTTCTGTTCCATTTTCTCCAAAGCATCATTTTCCAACTGTATATAACTAGCTTGTAACTTTCATAAGTTATATCTATTATATTTACTTACTGTCTGTCCTCTCCATACTCTAGTACCACTAGGATGTTTTATGAAATCAATAATTTTCTGCTTTGTTTATTGATGCATCCTGAGCCCCAGTAAGCCTGGGCGATAACGAACGTTCCAAAAATATTTGGTGAATGAATGAATGAATGAATGATGCATGGCGAAGACATATAGAGTACAAGTCACCCAGCACAGAGCTGGGAACACTGAGATGCTCAGAGGTTTTTCATGTACTTTTCCTCTTTGTGCTTTTCCATGAATCCGGCTTCCGGATCCCCTTTCTTCCCCATTCAGACTATTTACAGCCCTCTTCATTCCTTCTCTAGCCTGTTCTCATTCATCCTTCTGATGATGTAAACATAAGATAAACATGTTTCCTGGGTGGAATTGTCCAGTAGAGAGGGACCTACCTTTTCTGAAAGGACAAAACCAAGATACCATTGTATTAAGTATATTTATCAATCTATGACTGTATCTTATCATATATTCTGGCTCTATTCTGGGGAAGACATATTGAGTTTCAGGGTTTTGTACAAGTAGAATGACTAGTTTAAAGCAGAGCCACCAACTTCTTATTTATAGCCATGTAGATTTTAGGATTCGTGATCCTCAGGAATTATATCAATCACTGAGGACATTAAACATCATATTTCAACAAATTTAAGATACCATGTGATCAAAGTTGCACCATTGTTTTATCACTAAGAAAGGAAATAAGTGCTGGTGATTAAACTATGATGTAGTGCTTGCTTAACACTTAGCACTTGGTTGTTGCCTTGCAAGAAAATATGTAAATTTGGTCATTCTTCCAAAGGCAAATATCTGCTTCTCTAATAGCAGATTTGCATCCCACTGCTGTTCTGTGCCTTTCTGAGAACACATTAACTTCCATTTCGTTGCCGACTCATAGTGCAATCTTTCTAAAGATATCTGAACAGCAATTCAGCTCAACACATGTAGTAACAACCATGCCCACAGTTTGAAATGGACATGATTGGTGGCTGCACAGAAAAGGACAACTGCCTATGGGCTGACTTGGTGATATAATTATAAGACTATGGATTATAAAACAGGTTGTGATTTCAGAGATATTAAAATGTAGGGGGAAAAAGGCAAACCACAAATGTGTCTTAGAGTCAACTAAATGGTTTAGCAATTTAGGGACCCCAGTGGGTGCTTTTTTTTGGTTTATTTTGTTTTGTTTTTGTTCTACAAAGGAGAGGTCTCAAAGTTAGCTGTGATTCTCTGCATAAAACCCATGTTGCTCATTGGATATGCTTGGCCATCAGAGAGAGTCGTTAGTGTTCTTTTGGGTGTGTGGGGATGGAACTGAATTTTAAGGGAAATGGCTGCCATACTGGCATTTGGGAATTGGGGTAGCCAGCTGTGCTTTGGGGCAGATCAGTTGTTTAAATGTTCTCCTGTACATTAGGTAGAAGTGGCAGCCCTAAAATATCCACTTAATGATCCCAGTCTGCTTTCTGGATGTTTGTGGGGGTAAATTGAATTCCTCATGCCCGCATGCTCTTTGAAATATTGTCAGATCATTGTTCATCCTTTATTTTTCTCACTTTCTTCAACCATTTCTCAAAGCTTTTGAAAGTTTGTGATAAACTTAAACATTATTCAGGGTATTGCACATGCATTTTGTTATGGTCTGAATGTTTGTCCCTTGGATTCATATGTTGAACCCTAGACCCCGAGGTATTAGGTGGGGCCTTTGAGAAGTGGTTAGGTCATGAGAACAGAGTCCTCATGAATGGGGTTAGTGCCTTTATAAAGGAGGCTCAAGAGGATCCCTTGCGCATTCCACCATGTAAGGACACAGTGAGAGGCTGGAGGTCTGCAGCCCAGAAGAGAGCCTTCACCAGAGTGTGACCCTGCTGACTTGTTGATCTGGGACTTCCCAGCCTTCACAACTGTAAGAAATTAATTTCTGTTGCTTATAAGCTGTCTAGTCTGTAGTATTTTGGTTTAGTACTTGGACAGATTAAGATGCATTTATTAGTTGAAAAATAATAATGCAATAGTTATCACTTCCAGGGTGCATCTGTAGCTGCCATTGTGCTAAGCATTCTATTGATAGTATCATATTTTTTGTTCACGACAGCTCTCTGAAGTAGGTACAATTATTGTCCCATTTTAATGATGACAAAAACTAACACTCAGAGAGGATTAGTAACTTCCCCATGGGTATATAATAGTAAGGTAGTTGGATCTGAGTTTCAAAACCAAATCTCCTTGTACTAATAGCCATCTTTATATAGTTCTGTATAAGGAACATATAAAAACAATATAATAAAAATACATCCCAAATGAGAGACACTTGTGTTTCAACTGGTGCCCCAAGGACATTATGTACTTATTCTAATGATTCTTCTGTTATTTGGGACACTTTATGAACCCCCTTTTGGAATTCTTTAGGACCTGTATTTTAGGTATCCTTTGTATTAATCACTAGTCATCCTTTGGGGATCAGATTGGACTGTTTGAAGGACCCTAACAAGGCCGATCTGCCAATTAAGAAGTAGGATGACTATGTCCAACAGGGAGATATAGTTTTCAGTCATAAGGAAATGACCAGTTTTCTTGAGTCAGTTGTAATCAAAGCAGAGGCATACTTGGGATGTGTGTGATCTTCCTTGGGTCATGGTAGTTTGAGGGACATGAGACATTTATGTAAATGCAACTAGCAGGAGTTAAAAATTAGAACACATACTCATTTATCAGTATTAGAGATTTGCATTGCACTTATGTTTTTTTGGCTCACACCAGGGACCCTAAATTAGCTGCTCAGGGAGTATACAGATCCTGGAAGTATTCTTTGTGGTCCTTTTAGTGTACCCACACAGTGTGTTTACAGGCTTTATAAATAGGCAGATTTTAGGCTTGGTGGCCAAGTAAGCAATTTAGTCCCAACTGTCCCCTATACGCTTACTCAGGGTGTTTATGTTAATCCTAAACCTTCTGAAGGCATTTGGGCTTTTGATCTCTGGTGCTCATACTCTTCTCTAAAAGGAATTTTGAATAGTAGGCATCACTCTGCTCAAAAACAAAACAAAACAAAACAAAAAACAACACCTTAGGGTATTTCATGTCCCAGTTCAAACACCTTTAAGCTACTCTTAGTTAAAAATAATTCTTCCTTTTCCTCAATTTTTGTAAAATTTCAGTGAACCCCCTTTGTGCTCCCAACCAGCTGTCTTCCGCTGTAGCTCTTTGTGAACATTCCCACCTCACCTCAGAGGGTGTGCCCTTCACAGCAGAGCTGGTCCTGTGGAAATAAATCTCCGGCACTTCAAAATCTACCTACTTTTTGAAGCAGCAGGAAATATTCCCCAGTGTTTGGACCTTTCACTCACACTTTCTCTTTGTTCCTTTGCCGGCCTGGTTGTCTTGATTTAGACATTTGTCTTGGAGTCTTGTTACTGACTGTCTAGTTGTGAGGAATCTCTTGCTCACAACCAGATTCCAGTTTTGTTTTGCTCAGGTACTACGTTAACTCTGTGCATGCTAGGTTTTGGTGACTTGTCTCTGCTTCTCATTAAATGATTCTGGGCTCCATCCACTTCTTAGCCTGGGGATAATTCCCCAAAATGAACCATCCCTATCACCACCATAAGAAGAACTGGACAGAGCTAAAAATGGGATTCCGTAGAGCATCTGTCTTTATAGCCCCCTAGTACCTAGCACTGGTTTCTGTATAGGCAGATCCTTGACAGAAATTTCCTGATAACAAATGGAAAAACAACACAATTACAGTAGTATTTCGTGATGTGGAAAGGAAAGTATTTATTCAGCTAATATTGGCTGTGCTTCTTTAGATGAGGCATCATCTTGGTAGGGGCTAAGGACTCAAAGATGGAAAGATTAGGTCTCTTTCCTTAAGCAATGTTCATGCTACTCAAAGTCTAGAGCTAGAAGCAGTCAACTTGGACAAAGATGACAGAGAATTTACTAAACTGTGGGCCTTAATCCCAGGTCCCATGCCAAACAAATCTTGAATATGTTAGGGGAGTTATAGTTTCTGAGCTGAAAAAAGTCTTGAGAAAAATTGGAAAGCTTCTCTCTTGGGTCTTAATGGTGGCTAAAGAATGGTGGCTTCTGAGGGCAGAAGGGGAGCCTGGTGAAGGATTTGGCAAGGGATATGTGTAAAACCCATATGAGATCATGAGCAGTTGTCTCAGGGCTGTCCACTCTACCTTTGATTAATTTGGGGGGGGGGGATATTGGCTAAAAAGGAGACTTTATTTTTCATATGGGATAAAAAAAAATCGCATGGCCTTCTGGGGATCAGTATTCTTTACTGGCATGGCATGACTTTTAAAACAGTGAATCTGTTGTGATAGGCAACTGAAGTTCCAACTTTTTTTTTTTTTTGAAAAGGAGGCCATAACCTTACCAGTAAACTTGTGCTTTTTCTTAGTGTCACAGATAGTGTGGTCAAAGTTTTTTTTGGGTATGAAGGAAGCTCTAAAAAACAGAACAGCCAAAGTGATCTTCCTCTCTATGAACTGTAAGTTATCTACCACAGCATCTCATTGAAGAGGTGGCCTTGAGGGCTTAAGTAAGTAGGTTATCCGATCATCAAACCAGCACAAGAAACTCTCTGGTGAGTGAGAGGAGCCCCGAGTGGGGTGGAGGGAGATGCAGGTGAATTGCATTTTGAGGTCTGGGTTGCTGTTTGCCACTCTGTCTCTTGTCATCGCCAAGCACAGGCCATCTTCCTCTGCGAAAGGTTGTTACCCAAAGGGCACACTGTCCCAGGCTGTTGACATGCTTTACATCAAGGCAGCGTGGCTCAAAGCAACAATTCCAGTAAGTATTAGGCTCTTCCTAAAATGATGACCTAATGGACATTTGTAATTCTGGATAACACTTATTTCTCTTTGTTTTATTGTAGGAAGACCACATAAAAAATATACGATTGTTAAAAAGGAAAACAAAAAAGCTATTTATGGTAAGCCAGAGGGTTTTTTAAAAATCTTTTTCATCTTTCTACTTGTTTGATGCTTTCCCTCTTGCATTTTAAATTTCCGGGTGGTCATCACATAATAATCCGGGTTTCAGTGACATTTTATAAAAACTGTATTCAATGGTGTACTTTATGCAATTTCTTATATCTTATTTATAGAAAAACTGCAGATTCCGAGAACAGCTTCTGTCCTTCTTCATGGAAGATGTTTTTGGTCAACTCCAATTACAAGTCTGCAAGGAAATACACTTTGTGGAAGAATTTCATAGCCTTAGGCAGCAATTGAGCCGCTGTGTAAGTATGCACTGCAAACACGGTAAGTTTGACCCTGGAAACCTACCTAGAAAACAGCATGTAGGAAGCTGACTCCACAGCAAAGGGTGAGTAAAAGGGGCTTTCTAACTGCTGGCTTGTGGTCCAAATGGAGAGTTTATCATCAGTGAACCAGCATTGAATAGTCGTGAGTAACTCATAATATTTGTTATTTCTTTTAAAAATATTTATGATTTCTTAAGGAGTGGCACATATGACATACTGGAGATCTAAGATAACATGGAATGATCCTCAATATTTATTTATTTGTTTGTTTGTTTATTGTTCCTTCTGTATATGATTCCCAAGTGATTCCCATTCACTTATTTAATAAATATTTCTTAAGCACCAGCTATGTGTCAAACACTATTCTAGGCTGTTATTTCCTTCTTTTCTTTCTTTCTCTCTCTCTCTCTCTTCTTTCTTCCTTCCTTTCTTCTTTTCCTTGCCATATTGATGAGAGCTTTTAGATTGCTTTTTTCTTATTTATTTACCTAATTTTTTTTTATAGCTCTGCCCTTTTTAAGGCACAGTCTCAGTCATAACTTTATAAAAGGGTGGGATATGTCTTCTTTGGCACTTAAGTTATTTGATGCTGCAGTATGGTCACTGCCACCATAAGCAATGGGGAGTTAATTAAGAAGGTTAAAGTGACCACATTTCTATATAAACATTCACAGTAATAATGGCCAGTGCAGAAAAATGAAACAAAATAAAGCAAAAGCAATTAAGCTGGGATCACTGTAATATTAGTTGACTTGCCTCTGTGGGGGATGGTGAATCTTTTCTACGATCCTGTCTGGGCTCCAAGTATGCTTTCTCAGCCTCTTGTTTTTGTTTTTAAATGTTTATTAATTTTTGAGACAGAGAGAGAGCAGGGCAGGGGCAGAGAGAGAGACACAGAATCCAAAGCAGGCTCCAGGCTCTGAGCTGTCAACACAGAGTATGATATAAGGCTCAAACACAGGAACCGTGAGATCATGACCTGAGCCGAAGTCAGACTCTTAGCTGACTGAGCCACCCAGGTGTCCCTCAGCCTCTTGTGATTGTACCTTGCAGGTGGTGCAAAGGTGGGGCAGGGATGATTATTGCAGTCCTGGGGTTGCTAGATGGAAACGAGTTCTCTACTCCTGGACATTAGGGTCATTGCGACTTCAGTGCTGGACAGTTGGAAGTGGTTTTCATTTAACAGTTAGGATGTATTTTCCTCGGGGTCTGTCAAAGTGTTCAGGATCTCAGATTGCAGACCATAGCACAGAAGCATGTTATGTGAGGGAGGTGGTCAGGTAGGTAAAAAATTTCACTGAATTTACCTTCTCTTTTTCTTTGGTTAGTTTGTGTTTAAGTTATGTCCTTGTTTGGGGCTTGGGTTGCATGCTTTCTTAGAAACTCTCCTATTCCTTTCAAATGACTGCAATGATTAAAATTACAAACTCGTACCTCTTTGTAGAAGAGAGAGAATGCCCTGGGACAGCTCCCTGCCTAAACTAATGGACAGATCCTCACATCTCTTTAGCTTTTTCTATACTTTACCTCTGAGGTCATCTTATTAAGATAGTGAATTGTAGGGGCGCCTGGGTGGCTCAGTCGGTTGGGCGGCCGACTTCGGCTCGGGTCATGATCTCGTGGTTCGTGGGTTCGGGCCCCGCGTCGGGCTCTGTGCTGATGGCTAGCTCGGAGCCTGGAGCCTGCTTCGGATTCTGTGTCTCCCTCTCTCTCTGGCCTTTCCCTGCTCATGCTGTCTCTCTCTCTCTCTCAGAAATAAATAAAACATTCAAAATTTAAAAAAAAGATAGTGAGTTGTATAAATAGTCTCTTAAATTTAAGTTGAATTATTATATAGTTTTATATTTCATTCACACACACCCCCACCCCCAGCCGATTAGGTTATTATTACCCCGGTAAGAGCATTTTCACCACTAAAAGATTTGAAGAGGAGGAGAATATCCCTTGAAGGACTTGATATAGGGGAAATAATGAGACCTAAGGCAGTCACTGCAGGCTAGAGTGAAGCTCAAAGGAACAAACCAACTGCTCCCATTTCAGTGTCTGGAAACCAGGGTCCTCTTCAGCCTTTTGGTTTTCTTTTTTTCTTTTAAATGCATCCTGTTTCTCTTCACTTTTTGTTTGAACTCTGGTTCCACTGTGTAGGTGCTATTCATTGCATTAGTCACCCGACTTAATTTGACGTTATTTCAAATGAGGTTGTTAATGGTGGTGAGGCACTAGAATAAATCCTTGCCTGATACTGCAGTGTATCCAGACACCTGGAGCCCCTAAAGGCATGTCTGTTTTCCCATCAATTCAGTTGCCTTGGCTCAAATAGCTAGAGAACTCATAATGATAGCTATAACCAAGACCAATGCAATGTTCTAGATGAAAAACTTAAGAGAACACACAATCTAGGAAACCTGGTTTGCTTTGATTTATTTTTGGAGAAGTTTTTTTTTTCCCCCCCGAAAGAGACCTATCAATAAAGATGGTTCTGTCAATAGAGATGTTTCTTTCAGGGACTTGGGTCACACAGCCTGTGGGAGCGGTGGGGGGGTGGGGGGGGCGGGGTACTTCTCGCGGGCGTTGCGACTGCTTTCCAAAGTGGCTGGCTCCCCCTTGTGGCCAAATACGAGCACACGTCCACCCAACCTCTCCAAGCGCCACCTAATTGAGGGTCTTCCTTACTTTTCTTCCACCTGAAGCCAGTGTTTGCTAGCACCGGTTAATTTGTCTCGCAGACTGTGGAGTTTATGTTGAGAGGTGTACCAACCACCTCTGTGAAACTGAAAAAGAAAATCAGAGGATCAGCATGAGTTTGGAAAGCCTTCGCAGACATTGAGTCAGGGAAATAGGTGCTTGCATTGCGGTTAATCTTTTGGTCAATCGTAATTTTGTATTTTTGGTAACAGAAGCTGGTGTCTGTTTAATATAAATTTACTGAGCATCTGCTCTAGTCAGCGAATTATTTCTTCCTACGAATATAGAACTTTCCTGAAAATAGTGTTGTGAAGACAAATGAAAACCCAATCAACTGGAACTAAATGGTTAAAAGAAACAAGTCAGTTTACTTTTTGCAGACTGGCTTACAGCAGGTGGCCTACTTCTGTATTTCCCAGGTTCCGTGCTGGGTGAGAGAGGCCAGTGTGATCAGGTCTCTGCTCTCTGGCAGAGAGAGGTAAACAAAGAAGGTCAGTGAATCATGAAATGATGTGACATGTCTGATGCTGAGTTTTCTGTGTGACCCAGTCACTGTGGAAGCACAAAGCAGGGAGTAGTTAATTTTGTCCACTGTGGGGTTTGGAGAGCATGTGTTATCGAAGGAGGTGATAACTGCATTCAGTTTCCCAGAGAGTAAGGAACAGGAATGGCAGGGGGAGAAGCTTGAATAAAGCTTGATGGTATGAAATGACAGATCATATTCAGGAAACTGCAAGTAATTGAGTGTGAATGTAGAATGGCTTGAGGAATGTCGAGAGGAGGTTGGTTGTTTGGATTTTAGCCAGGAAATGCTAATAAAGGCCTGCTTAAGAAAGACATGATAACACTGGCTAAGGCTAAGGATTGTCCTGAAGAAAAATGTAAAGCACCGAGGGCATGGCCTGATCATATACTCTTATGTTCTAGAAAAACCTCTTTAGTGAAGGTAGATGGCTACAGGTGGGTGGTGAGGCTCTAGGGAGAAAAAACAATGAGAAAAGCATTGCAATAATGTGTCTGGAGTAAGGTGGTGGCACACCTGTGTCGTAGGGAAGGGCAAGGAGAGTCTGAGGAAGAGAATAGAGTCTGGGATGAGCCCAAGGTTCTTTCTTGGGGGGCTGAGTGGGAGGGGGTGTCACTCATTAATAAGTATAGTAGGAGGAAGCTTGGAGAAAGGTAAACAAGTTGCTTAGACCTGCTAGAAGTTTCAGGAGTCTCATGCATCAGAGTAATCATAAGAGTAGTATGTAAGCTTTCCATATATATTTTGTGTATTTTTAATATTTATGATGTATTTATTAACAGATTTATTGAGATATAATCAACACACAATTAATTGAACATATTTAAGGTGTATAATTTGGTAGTTTTGACATATGTATACCCTTGTGAAGCCATCACCACAATTAAGATAATGGACATATCCATCAACCCCGAAAGTTTCTTTATGCCCTTTGTGATCCCCTCCTTTTGTCCCCAGGGAATCACCGATTTGTCTTCTATCACTATAGATTTGTTTGCATTTCCTAGAATTTAATATAAATGATGTCTGTGTTACATTCTTTTATGTCTGACTTTTTCCACCCAGCATAATTATTTTGAGATTCACTCATGTGATTGAGTGTATTAGTAATTTATTCCTTTTTTATTGCCAAGTCGTATTCTGTGATAATGCTATAGTACAATTTATTTATCTGTTTGCCTGCTGATGGTTTTTTTTCTACTTTTTGGCTATTGCAAATAAAGCTGTTATGAATATTGATATACAAGTCTTTGGACAGGTATTTTCATTTCTCTTGGGTGAATACCTAGGAGTGGAATAGTTGGATCATAGGTTAGGTGTATGTTTTGTAAGAGCTAACCAGGCTGTTTTCTAAAGCAACTGTACCATTTTACATTTTCACCAGTAGTGTGTGAGAGTTCATTACTCGGTATCCTTGCTATCACTTGATATGGTCAATGTTTACACATTCCAGCCAGTGTAGTCATGGTATCGTACTGTGTTTTCAATTTGCATTTCCCAAGTCATTAAAGACGTTGAGCATCTCTTGATTTGCCAATTTATCATCAATATATCTTTGGTGAAATATCTGTTTGAATATTTTGCCCTTAAAAAATAGGTTGGTTGTTTTCTTACTGGGTTTTGTTTGCATATGTGTGTTTTCAAATATATTCTGCATACAAATCTTTTATCAGATATATAATTTGCAAATATTTTTCTCCTGGTCTATGACATCTTTTCATTATCTTAACAGTGTCTTTTGAAGAGAAGATATTTTACATTTTGATGA